ATTTGTTATTTATAAAGTTTGACTTTAGCTACAACTCCATCATTTCTCAGCATGAGAGGATCTGAGTTTGGTAACAAAGGTGGCAGGTGATCTGCGTTTCTTCAAGGAATATTAGGGTTTTATTTGTTTCTTTATAACTTTGATAGTTGATGATTGAGAGCTTTAAAAAGTCCACAGGTTTGTGTATTTAAACGTGCTGATCAGGTCTGTCTGGGCTCTCTAGCTTCCCAACATGTTTGGAGACCTGCGGTCAACCTTCATCGCCCTGATGATTGGATCCTACGCTTCCTCTGCTGTCACTTTCCCCGGCATTAAGGTAACTTCTGATCATTTCTTTCAGCTTTACTTCAGTATCTTCAGTCACCGGTGCTCTGCGCTGAAAAAGATCCTTCCTAAAAGGCAACATGAGCTCAGAGGATTAGTTATTGATTTTTACATTGTCCTCTCACTTCAGGTCATCTACGATCTGGGCGTTGCCTTTATCTCCATCCTTATGGTTTGGGCTGCATGTGCTTGCCTCGTGTTCCTCAACTGCTTCATCAACTGGCCTCTGGAGCCCTTCCCAGGCCCAGAGGATATGGACTTCACGTAAGTAAAAACAAACTGGTCCTGTCTTCGCTGAGATTACTGCGCTACACACAGAGACATGCACACACATCGGTGGGGTGAATCTCACTGTAAGGCAGCAGAGCCCACTGATCCCTAAAGAGGAAAGACCCTAAAACCAGACAATCATTTCACTTTGCTCTCGGTCGTCTGGGTTTTTCATGCTTTCTTTGTGTGTGTGCTGATATTTTCCCTCTTTCCTATATTTCCTTTGCCTGCTTTCATCCTTTTTCACCTTCTTTCCTCTCTCAGGGTTAAGATCAAATTCAGCTGGCTGGGATTTGACCACAAGATCACTGGGAAGCAGTTTTACCACCAGGTGACCACAGTGGGCCGTCGCCTCAGTGTGGGCAATGCCATAAAGCAGCCACAGCAGTCCACCAAGGATCTGGCTGAGCAGGACGCCAACAAGCTGTGCCTGTCCACCGTCGACCTGCAAGTGAAGTGCAAAGGCGACGAGGAGAGTAAGTCAGAGGTGTTGCATCATGTCAGGGATCTGATGAAGGCAGCTTTAATCTGGTTCACGCAACTGGATTTAGGTTCACGGTTCATATATAAAAATGCGCCTTTAAAATGTTTGATGGTGCTTCAAGTTACTCATTTTAATAACATTAAATAAAACATGCAGGTAGTGTCCAAATACACAGCGGGGGGGGGGGGGGGGGACTGGTGTTCTTCTGAATAAATGAAAACTATGTAACACAGTTGTTTACACTTGAATTAAAGATATTTGACCAAAGGAAACCCAGAGCAGAGAGAGATGAATATGATTAATATTTTTATTGATCCACAGGAGACACAACATTAACGGCAGTCATTTCATTCCTCGGCTTTAGCAGCTCCTTTAATTCCACAGCTGATGCTGCTAAACATTACAGATTTTCTTTTCTGGATCTCTGAGAGCAGGATTTCAATCTCTGAACTCATAAAGTTCTTTGTTTTACTTTGTGATGTCACTTATGAATGGACACTTCCAGGAAACATAGCCTTATATGGTGTTTTTGGGGTGATAATCTCCTCTCCCCGTGCATGAGCACCTGATACACATTCATCAGTTTACACAGCTCATTTACACACTTTTCCTGAAGATAGAAGAGTTTGATGAATCTGACGTGACATGTTCGTACGAACCCTTCATACAAACAAAAGCAAGAGAAATTTAGGATAAGAATACGAACATGTTCTTGCATGAAGCCCAGTCATTCTAAAGCTACACAGGAGCAGTTTCAGATTTACCCATAACCTCCACTACACAGTTTTATTAACCAGTCTGTACTCCAGTTGTATCAGGTAACAGCTTGTGTTGAGGTTCTGTCTCATGATAATGTTTGTGAATATTTTAATTCCATCTGCAGTGAAGATGGAATTAAAAGAAATCATCTGGAAGCCTCTTTTAGGCGTGTAAATTCTGTAATGTTAACAAACTTATCAAATATATAACTTTTATCAATAATTTAGACATTAAAAAATGTTCAGAAGTTAGCATAAGTTGTCTAAAAAAAGCACAAACTGATTTTTTTTATTTCAAGGGAACCTGTAACAGGTTTTTAAATTGTTGGTCAGTTGCTGAAGATTGCAACATGCTAGCAAATATGTTAATTTGTGGGTAAAACTTTGATGTAGCATTATTGTTAGCATTATTTTGTTGATATAGTGATATATGAATGAATGAATGAATGAAATTTTTATTTAAGTGTCATGCACTAAAAGTGCCCAGCCTATACAGGCTTATAAGACACCATGGACAAAAAGGAAGTGGCCATACATTTACARAAACAATATTTTACACAACAGGATAAAGTGCTAATTGTCTACGCACCCATGCTCTTTCTATAAA